TTCAGTAGCAACATTAAAATTTAGTTGGCATTTATTCACATCAAATCCAAATACCATATTTTGTAACCTTTTTTTTTGGTATATTATAGTATTATACAAATTATTAGAAATAGAAAACAATTAGTTGCGAGTTGTTGCAAATTGATTAGAGGAAAGGAAAACAATATTAGTGGTGCCGTTAAGAAATGTGTAAAGCACCATGATTTTAGCTTAGAAATCAAACTTATCATAATTTCAATTCTAACGTTTTTCCCTTCTAGTTATTTATTTGTCCAATTGACTGTTTTTTTTATCACTTGTAATGGGTTGAAATATACTATATATGTAAGAAATACAATCAATATATATATATATATATATATATATTATAAATAACATTAAAAAACATTTTTGTATATATTCTATGTCTAATGTATGGTATCATATGGTATATATTTTATAAATTTATACAGATCTTATCCACATAGCTAAAGGAGTGTTGGAGGAGACATGTTGAAGTGAAAGTGCACAAGCACTCGTACTACCAAAACATTATATTATATGAATTTGGAAGGACAATCTACATGAAAGTAGTGTAGATAAATCATACAATCGAATATTAAGACATATGGTGAATGAAAATGACACACAAGAAAAACACAATCTAAGGCTGTTAGAGAGAAAGGGAAGAAGCAAAAAGGCTAAGGGGGGATTGAGACATAAGCCTCTAAGTAGATGACAGCTCGCCCCCTCATTTGACATCGACTTCATACCTACAAAGTCTCAATTTTCCCCCACTTGGCCTTTGCTCTAATTAGTGATTATTGTTAGCCAATGATATTATAATTTGTATCACTTTCTAAAAAATGTAGATCTTTTTAAATATTAAATCTCGAAATGTAACATTTAATTTGGTAAAATAATGATGTAATGTAACCCTTTTTCGTACGCGATAGGTAGATGCCATTTTTTGCTTACGTGCATGTCTATGCACATATGCATTATTCCTATTTCAGACACAAGTATATGTACGTATGTATGTATGGAAGTTCTGTGTTTGGAGTCTTTTCCAATAAATATCTATTGCAAATAACGGAATCTAAGTTGGTGGACGAAATCTATCTCATCTACCCGTCACATTGCCACCATACATTCGCACGAGTCCGAGATATACTATCTGCGTATGGATCATACCCCGGCCGACACTACGCGTTTGAGCCGCTGAAATTCATGTACGTATATATAAACAACACCTACTCAGGAATACGTATATATACTGCATACCGTATGGTGCGCGTATACACAAATTATATGTATGAAAAGTACATCGGAATTCACGGGCTTTCTATTTATCATAATACTAAAAGCATCCACATATTTTCTCCAATGAGTATCTATCCTTGAAGTTGTGCGCATATGAAATATGGTCGTCGGACAGTTTTGTTTGCTAGTGATGCCAATACAACATCCCTATATGGACCATATCTAACATATATTCATAGGTATATACATACATGTATGTATATATATCTATATATGGACGTATCGTTATGCAAATATCATTATATTATCAAAGTCCCAGAATGAAGTGAAAGAGGCTTTCTTTCATGCGCACACTATTCTGCTCATAGAATAAAATTCATCCAACAAAAAAAAAAAAAAAAAACGAGAACCAAGGCTTTAGTGTTTCATATTGGTAACAGTTTTGTTTGCTAGTGATGCCAATACAACATCCCTATATGGACCATATCTAACATATATTCATAGGTATATACATACATGTATGTATATATATCTATATATGGACGTATCGTTATGCAAATATCATTATATTATCAAAGTCCCAGAATGAAGTGAAAGAGGCTTTCTTTCATGCGCACACTATTCTGCTCATAGAATAAAATTCATCCAACAAAAAAAAAAAAAAAAGACGAGAACCAAGTAGGCATGGGCTATGACAGGCTCGGACCATCACAACAAGCGGGTTCAGAAACCGTTCAGAACCACCCAGAAACTGTCACGTCACTTCCAGAGACCCGAACCAAGAACAGCACGAAGCTGATCCTCCTCTCCCTCGGGCTCCTCCTCGCCGCCGCCGTCTCCGTCGCGCTCTTCGCCGGACTCCGGGTCCTATCGCCGGGTCGAGTCGACCCAAACCGGAAACCCACCCAGGCAATTTCCCGGGTCTGCGGCAAGACCCTGTACCCGAGTCTCTGCGTAAGCTCGCTCCTCGATTTCCCGGGCTCTCTCGCCGCCGGCGAAGATGAGCTCGTCCACATCTCAGTCAACATGACCCTCCAGCGATTCAGCAAAGCCCTCTATGACTCGTCGGCGATCTCCTCCGTTCAGATGCCGCCACGTGTACGGTCCGCCTACGACGCCTGCCTCGAGCTCCTCGACGATTCCGTCGACGACCTCTCTCGCGCCCTCTCCGGAGGCGGATCCCACTCCGATGTGTTGACATGGCTCAGCTCCGCCATGACCAACCACGACACCTGCACCGAGGGCTTCGACGAGAACGAGGGGTTCTCGGACAGCGGAGGCGTGAAGGGTCGGGTCGGCGGAGCGGTGAAGGACTTGTCGGAGCTGGTGAGCAACTGTCTGGCGATATTTTCCGGAAAAGTGGGAGATCTGTCGGCAGTTCCGGTGGAGAACAGAAGAAGGAGATTGCTTGAAACAGAGGAGGAGTTGGAGTTACCGATATGGTTGGGAAAGAGAGACAGAGAGCTTCTGAGTATACCGGCGGCGAAGATTCAGGCAGACATTGTCGTGTCCAAAGACGGCACCGGCACTTGCAAGACCATCGCCGAGGCCATCAAGAAGGCGCCGGAGCATAGTAGCCGTCGGATCGTCATCTACGTCAAAGCAGGAAGGTTAGATTTTTTTTTCTTTGCTTCAAATAGGAAAAAAAATGTTTGAAATCTTTTGGGGAACCTATGCTTCGTTTTCGGACCACATTCTAAAAGTAAACAGTTCTGTCGGAGTCATTATAGATTATGTAAATCTCTTCTTTTCCGTTTTTTGGTTTCAATGGTACAAAGTTGCAGACTTTGCGCTAAAATCTGCTAGATTTGGATCAGATGACGAAAAAAATCATGCATTTCTCAATTGGGTTTTGTATCGTCGCTGTATATTTCGTCATTTGTGACTGGTAACCGTACAACTGAAACTCAGGTACGAGGAGGAGAATCTAAAGGTGGGGAGGAAGAAGACGAACGTGATGTTCATCGGAGACGGAAAGGGCAAAACGGTCATAACCGGCGGAAAAAGCATCTCCGATGACCTCACCACTTTCCACACCGCATCTTTCGGTAAAAATCCCAACACTTTCTGGTAAAAAAAATCCCAACTTCATTCATACTTTAACTGTTTGCGGCTTTGCAATCGATTGATGTAGCTGCTACCGGAGCCGGGTTCATTGCGAGGGACATGACGTTCGAGAACTACGCCGGACCAGGCAAGCACCAGGCGGTGGCCCTCCGGGTCGGAGCCGACCACGCGGTGGTTTACCGATGCAGCGTGATCGGGTACCAAGACGCACTCTACATCCATTCGAACCGTCAGTTCTTCCGAGAATGCGATATCTACGGTACAGTCGATTTCATATTCGGGAACGCGGCCGTGGTTTTACAGAACTGCAGTATCTACGCGCGAAAGCCAATGCCTGGTCAGAAGAACACGATCACGGCTCAGAACCGGAAGGATCCGAACCAAAACACAGGGATCTCGATCCACGCCTGTCGGATTCTTCCGACGTCGGACCTCGAGGCCTCGAAAGGAAGCTTTCCGACTTATCTTGGACGGCCATGGAAGCTGTACTCGAGATCTGTGTACATGATGTCGTACATGGGCGATCACATTCACCCACGTGGGTGGTTGGAGTGGAGCGGTGGGTTCGCGTTGGATACGTTGTACTATGGCGAGTACATGAACCGTGGACCCGGGTCGGGTACGGGTCAACGGGTCAAGTGGCCGGGTTATCGCGTCATCACGTCGGCATCTGAGGCAAGCAAGTTCACGGTGGCTCAGTTCATCTCCGGCTCGGCGTGGTTGCCTTCTACCGGCGTAGCCTTCTTGGCCGGACTCACCCAATAGGCAGAATCTGTCAAAGCCTCTGTACCATACATACATATATATACACGTATATAGAATTTCAAGATTCATATATATATAGAGAGCCCAAAAAAAAAAGAGGAATGCATATTGAATAAGTGTAAAAATCATGGTTCCTTCCTTCTTACAGTCCTTCAGAATACTTGAAAGATGCATATTGTACTTTTTGTCTGACACTGCATTTATATGTAAGAAACATATAAAGATGGGGAGTATGTGAAGTCTTGTGATTCAGATTCTCTATCCGTACGAACAGATCATCTTTTTGTCGGGTTTATTACCACTTTATCAGATCTGTACGATGAATCCTACATTCCCTTCTTCCACCATCAGAGAATATATTCAATAATTGAATCATTAGATACACACCCAGAAAAAAGAAGACTACAGAGTGTAGTAGCAGTTCAGAGACATGAGGGAGGGAGAAGGAATCTTCTCTTCTATCATACAAATCCAAAAAACTTGAAATCACACTGACAAAAAGGGGATTCAAGAGAGAGTATGATGAATCGGAGTTTCAGCTACATGAGGTTTGGAATGCAAACCCCAGAGTCCGGATTCTGTTGCTCCTTCCAGATTCTTCCGGTAACCCTAAGTTTCAGCTCTTTCCTGTCTCCGCCGGAGAAGAAAAGCGCCATGTTTCTCTGTATTACAAGACCGTCATGACTGTCTCGGACTTTCCTGTGGCTGGCCCCTACGCTTCTCGGTGTCCCTTCCCATATGAGTTTTCGCCCACTGCCTCCCACTTCGAGGCTGTAGCTGTAGTTTCGGGCTTCTACCTCGTCTCCCATGAATCTCAGGAATGCCCTCGAAATGAAGGCAGAAGTATTGTCCAAAGCAATGGAATACCTGTAACAAGATCATGAAACATCAGGGTTTCAATCAAAATTTGGAAAGCCTAATGCTTTTTTTTGTTTCCGTTGATGGGTACAGAGTTAAGATCATAAAACCAAGATTCCCAGGTCATAAACAAGTCCGATACTCACGGTTAGCATCCAAGTGGCATTCTCCACTTCGCGTGGATTGGCTTTGACATACCGATGGTTGAAGGTGCAACCTGTGTGCATGTCGACTTTGTGGTCATCCCTCAGATGGGCAACGAGGAAAGGGATGTCCCCTACTACAGCACACTCCGAACCAGCATATGGACAATTATAAGGTCTGAAGTTACAGCCAGACTCATGCTTTAGTTTGCTGTAATAAGGAAATATCCCTGGGCATCCGAGGTTGTAGTACTTGCACGGCAGCTCGAGTGACTCTGCCACTTTCTCCAGAGCTAAACATCTAATATCTCCGAGCTCTTGTCTACATGTGGGACACCGATTGTGAACCCTTGCTTTACAGGTCGAGCATAGCGTGTGCCCGTTATGGCACTGCAAAAGAAAGAAAGAAAGAACAAGTCAGCTTATTATCGCCGATGATTCACCCGACAGACAAATTCCAGATTCAAGAACTCTCCCTGTAATGTACCTATCTTAATCCACTGCAACAAGTTCGATCTCTCCAAATGCAAGAATTATGCCTATCCATACTCTATCATGTATAATTTCAACTCTCCAATCTCAGGATCAATACAAGAATCTCGAATGTAAAGGAATAGCGATCATAAGAAATCCAGATGAGTAGCTCTTGCGATAATAGCCAAACGATGCATCATGGAATTCCAGCCTGAAAATAGCTTCATAGCAATGAAACCAAATTTGCAGAAGAGGAATATTCATTTCATTACTAGATATGGAGATCAGCATTAATGGGTCCTCATCAGAGAAGTACAGAAAAATCACAACCAATCTAGGAATTTGAAATTGATAAATCCGTACATTTCATCATGAATCCAAAGCCAAAGTTCAAAAATTTGAAAACGCGGAAGCAGATACGCACCTGATGAATTGGTGGGTACATCGAATTGGTGCAGACGGGGCATTCGAGGAGCTCGTAGACGCTCGTCGCCGGAGCGATCGCCGTTGGGCCGACGATGTTGGTCGCCAAGCCGGCGGCTCCGCCGTGGTTGGCATGAGACTTCGCCGACGAGAATTGATGGTTGCTGTGGTGATGATGACTGTTCCCGTGATGATGGATCTCATCGTTCTCGATGCTTCCCGTCGACGAGACACACTCGATGCTATCCGTCTCCATTAACACGAAGCTATGAGAAAAACCCTAATTTCAAAATTTGGGAATTTTCCCTTCCTTTCCTATTTCTCTCTCTTTCAATAAAATTCTTTTCTCCGTCGCCGATCAACAGGAGAAAAGAAAAAGAAGCAAGAAAGCGAACAATCCTTTGCTTTCGTTGCACTTTTGGGTATTTTTCTCTGAAGAGAAAAATCTGGAAACAGGGAAAGA